GCTCACAGGGCAACAGGAGGCAGGTAACATTAAAGTCCTTCTTTGTGTGGTAGTTGCAGCACAGCCTGCCTGTGTTTTCTCCCTAATTACGGGCTCAATGTGCACTTACAACAAGAGCCTCTCCAAGCCTCTCTCTTCTCCCTCTCTGCCTGCGTGCCAGCCTCCCCTCCCCTGTTTGTTAGCAAGTGCCATTACCTCAGGAAGAAGAGCGGCTTCTTCCACACAAAGGCGAAGGTTTCATTAGAAGGAATGGCTGTTCCCCTCAAACTGCCACTGAAAACACAGCCTGCACTGGAGTGGCCAAAGAGACCAGACACGGAGAACAAATAACAGCAAGGAACTTGGGCATCTCACATCTGAACCCAACGACCGCCTTGAAGGAAAAATCATTTTTTTACCCCTGGTCTGTTCAAGAAAACATCCACTCTTATCACCCCGAGAAAAGCATTTCTGCCCATATACACCCGTCTTTCATCATAAAAATTTGAAGTATTCCCATTAGGAGCCTGTGCCAGGACAGAGACATAAGATTATTACCTAACCTTCCCTGAACCTCACACACACTCACTCAAATTGATGCCAAGCTGCAGCAAGCAACAAGTACACTCTGTACCACAAGCTGAAGCCTTAAACTTACTGGAATTATTTTCCGGGAAATGTAACAGAAACAGTCAGAACATGACTAACTGCTGTCTGCCATTCCCACTGCAGAACATTGCAAAAATTCAGTGTTGGATTGTTGTTTTGGTCTGAGCACAGGCGACAGAAGGCAAATGGATAGTTACCCTGTACGTGCTGCGAACAACTTTTTCCTTTAATCCAAGGCAGCAAAAAAACTCAGAGATTTGTGAATTGTTAAGTGTGCTATAACACAAACCAACTGGGGCAGAAGAACTGTATTTGTTAAAAAATGACCAGCATAACATTGCACATTATTTCTACTTTTTCCCTCTTAGTTTACAGTTGAATAAATAACATGCAGTTACTATCCTTGTTGTGGCTTCTTCTGTCCTGAATTAGCATCCTTCTCCATGCTTTCATGATGCAATGTCATGATCAGTGTACAACGGCAAGAACATAACAAGAGAGGTTACAAACAAGAGAGGGCACGTGCAGCTCATTTAGTTTTCCGTACTTCATTAAGCTTTAATAAAGCTAGGAATTCCTATTCTATAGTTTTACCATTCCTAATTCATTTGGTTTAGCGAGCGCAAAGGGAACTATTAAATATTTAACATGACACTCCAGATGAGGCACTGCAAGAAAACCTTTGATGAAATCGAAATTGAGGTGTGTTTTAAGAGACTCACAGCTCTGTGGAGCTATATTGCAGATGTATCGATCTCCTTCCTGTTTGCAGGCCCCTCTCAATTAACGACCCATGAGGGCAGGACAATTACCCACTGTGTGGTTCCATCCACTCTCTTGTTTAATGAGTGGAACGGACGGTAGTGCAGCTCAAAGCATGCTTGCAAACACAATGGAAGGGTCCCAGTGAATGGACGGGGTCTTACTGATTGACCATTGGCTGATCCTGGCCAGGCACAAGCTGTGATTGGCCAGGACACATTCAAACTCCAGCCAATAAAAACCTGGAAAAACAAAGACAACCGGCCCCGGCGGGGTAACCCATGTCTTGTGTCCACTTGTGATCGCTTTTTTCTTGGTGAGTTTCTAATGATAATTAGATTACCCAGATTTCCCTTTGTGGGACTCGACTGGAACAGGAGCCCAGAAACACACTGGACGGAAAGGAATGCGTGCTTTGCTTTGGAAATGTTAGAAAAAATGCTCCCAAAAACTACAACTTTAATTGAAGAAGCTCCTCTTGAGGAGCCAAATCTACACTATTACTGCAGCTAGTACAACTATTTATTATTATACTACCATTATTGACATCTATTATACCAGCTCTATTCATAATAACAGCTATCGTAATTGCTACTATAAGTAATGCTGCATTGATGCTCTGTACGGATGTATTATTCCCGACAAACAAAATAAGAGATGTACATGCAGTAGTTTTTGCAATTCTGTACAGTGTTAATTGACAGATATAACAGCACAAAATTGACAGTAAAGCCTCTCATTCAAGTTCCATTTGTGGGGTTAATAAATGCCACAGTGGGGAAGGCTGTCTTGAGCTCAGCGATGTGTATCAAAACAGATGTAGAGCACAAATTGATTATATTATTAAGGATGCGTCTGTTCAGGGTCATGGGGACGCCACAGCTTGAAATATTCAATTAAGGGGAGTGCAACCTTGCAGTGGGGGAAGGGCGCCAGTGAGCTCATCGCCACAGGTGCTGGCTGAGCAATCATACGCCCCAGAATCAGAAAGGGGACAGACAGGTCAGCCCCCGTCGAAGGTGTTAACAACTGCTACACTTGTTTCTCCAGGGGTCAGCAAGCACAGCCCTCTGTTAACTCTTCCTCTGCGGGAGTTCGGCTCCATCAGCAGCTTGCATGGACCTTTCCCAGCTCCCCAGATCCTGGAACAGCTTTCAGGAACCGGGTGCTAATTGCTAGTAAAATGCTAGGCAATGATTTTCCAAAGCACGGAGGGAACGTGAAATGCGCAAATCCTTTGGGGCACGGGCAGTGGAAAGTCCAGGGACAGCCAGATTAGCCCAGTATCCACACCGCCGATGTCATGAATACAACCGGTGACATTTACTTCAATTTAAAAGTTGTGACTTTGTTTCCTTTTTTTCAAGTTGAGTTTATCCCATGCTTTGTCTCTGAGAGTATCTTTACATCCCTGTTTCTCTTTTGTGCAGTTCTGCCCTGCCTTTCACCAGTTGTTTCCTTCACAGGTCAACGCTAAGTGGATTATAGTATTCGTTCTTGATCAGGAAAGTAAAGAGGTGTGGTTTACTTGTGCTAGATGTTATGGAAGGAGTGTCTTGGAATTTGAAATCCCTTCAGGGTATCGTTTTTTTTCCCCTTTTGTTTTTCTGGAGCACCTTTCCATTACAGTTCCATTTAACCTTTGTTTCTGTTTAGTTTAAATCCAGACGAGCCCCTCAGTAAACAGCTGTTAGGGCAGATGTTTCTTGATTAACGCTGTCAGCACACAAACACTACAAATCCTCAGGTCCCTTTGTTATAGATGTGCCTTACAAGACCCTTTGTTATAGATGTGCTGTACCTATCATCCCTGGTAATGAAGACAGCTGAGAATTGCTTTGATTCTCTTTATGTTAAACCACAAAAAGTAGGGGTATTACAGTCTATGGAACTGTTTCAGCCAATCCCATCACATTGGCACAGCCTTTAGTGTTATAATAAAAACATTTCATGATTGGTAATGTTTTGATATTACAGAGAATCAACATGGAAAATTAACAACAAGGCTGCCTGTAAGCCCTTGTGCAAGAACCATGTCAGACTGTATCATCATTAATATTTCATTACAAAATCTCTCATTATTTTGTGAGAAACGTGTCCCCGATTCACCTACAATTTCTTCTCCCAGAAGAACATTTGAGCATTTATTTACTAGCAGGTCTCATCCAACTATTTCTTCGCCAGCTTTGATAATGTAGCCGGGTAGCTTGTTCCAGACACCCACCATCCTCTGTGTAAAAATGTTCTGTTTTAAATTCACTTCCCTGTTGCCCCTGGTATTGCCTGCTTTGTGTTTCACTGTGCATTCTAAAGACTCGATCAGGTCGGTTACTCTCCCATTGAGGACTGCAGCCAGCCCTCCTGAAGCTTCTGGGCTGAGACAACCACAGATTCGTGAAACTGTTAGTCTGTTGTGCACTTTGAACAGCACAATATCTTTCTAGTTTTCTATTATATTTTGCACACAAATTAGTCTGTTTCTCACGCAAGACTTGTTTATATCATCTGATATATATATTTCATCCAGTATAGGCCATAATGGTTAACATCAAAAACCTACAAGCACGGGAAGAATAATTGGTATGTGACATCCTCACAGCTGTTAAACTCTTAAACAAGGCCTCGGCAGGCTGTTTCAAAGTCAGCAGTCGCTGTCGTTTTCTGTGTGAGCCATGCTGTCTGACTGCACTGCGCGAAGACGGGCTGAGGACCGGCCAGCGCTGGGCTCCTGCCTCAGCTCCTGGGGGATGCAGATGCCCAGTGGGATTTACGGATCGGAGAGGGTGAAGAGTCCAGGAAGGCAAATACTGCAGGTTGGGGAGGAAAAAGCACATGTGGTGTGAGGATCACAACTCCCATTGAGGAAAGGTTCTTACGTACTGCCCAACAGCAAACACATCTCAAAGTTAACTGGCACCTTCTTCTGATGAAAATCTAAGGCGTTTCTTGGGAATTGTAGCCATCAGTATTGTTAGCTGTGCCTACAGCAGTAAACGGCAGACAGGTACTAATAAGGCACCAAGTCTGTCCACAACACAAAAATATTGATGACTGTGACTGTTGGTTGTTGTTTTGATTTTTTATGGAGGGTTTAGTATGTAAAAACAAAACACTGCGTGGTGCTGGAGGATCTGAGATCCTTATCACCCTTTCTATCCGTACAGCACTGTACTTCTGTGATTCTTTATTCTTTAACGACTACTTCATTACCAGATTTTGTTCACATCTGACTTGTCATCTTTGTAATCGTATTTAAGCCAATTTTGTTGTGAAATGTGCCTTTTCGGGGTTTGCAAAGTACTTTGAGGTGATCGGTTTGAAATAGCGGGCTAACACGTCGTCGTTACTTCCAAAAGCAGACGTCGCAGATGCCTCCCAAGCTTCCCAAGTTTGTAACTGAGCGGGCGCTGTTGGTAAACATCGAGACAAATGTGCGCGTAAAGCTTATAACTTCGGGACACCATCAAAGCGACGCGCCCCCTTCCAGTTTGTAAACACCATCTCTCTCACCAGCCCGGTCAGGTCGTGCGACTCTCCGGTCCTGTAGCTTTAAGAGGGGCGTGGTCACAGACCCAATCACCCGCCTTTTATGCAAATCAGGCCTACTCCTTCCCGGATCCCGGCTAATATAGCGCCGCAGTCCTTTTAACAGCTCACAGCTCGCCCAAGCTGCCGCCTGCACGCAGACCACCTCTGTGCACCCCGAGCACAGCACCACCCAGGCTCATGCATTAAGTTTTAGGGCAAGGGACTGATTAACTTTCCAGAGGGGAGCTGTAGCACCACACACGCGCAAAAGGAGAGACAAGAAATCGGTTTGAGAAACGGGGCTGTGAAATCAGATGTAATGAAAAAAAAAATACCAAACTTTTTTTTTTTTGCCTGCAGGAAGTGGACGCCTGATGCAAATATAATTTGCTAAGATAAAAAAGAAAGCATTCTTTTAAAAATATATATATATACTTGATTTGGTGATCTTTTTTTAACGCTTATCCGAAGCGTTAAGGAAGAATTTCGGATTTATTTTTCTCACACTTGTCCGAGTGCCCGGAGGAGCTGAGATAATCACCCATCTGGTTCTCCGTGACTTGTTTTTTTTTTTTAAACTCGCGTGTTTTTATTTATTCTTTTACTTTTTTCTTTTGCTCGGGCTTTTGAACACTTTGGAACAGCTTCTCGAAGCCGGTGAGTGTTTGGTTTTAACGTCTCAAGCCCCACGCTGCGGTCTCCGTTTGCCCTGAATGAAATCGAGGGTAAAATTACTTTCCCAAATCCGTGCTGGTTGCTCATTGCAGAGGGAATCGAGCAGGTCGGGTCCGGTTGTGCATTTATTTGAGACAGAAACCTTTCGCCGGGCATTGCAATGTGCAGCCTTATGTAATTCGTTGCGAAACCTGGAGATTTACACTAACTGCATGCGTACGCTATTTACACTACTAGGACATCTTGCGCCTTCAGCGCATTTCTACCCCCTGTTCCTGTAACCTAGATAGGGCTAGTAAGTGTAATTAAAATCTCTAATCTCATTTAATCTGCCGTGCACCGCCGTGGATCTGTAGCTGCCTGACACACTCCGGTGGCATGGGTGGGTTAGGGACAGTTGGCACCGGGGGCGATCGCTTTGTTATTTTTGTATAGTTCACGAGTTCGCTTCAGTTCAGATCGCTGCTACTTGGTAGTGTCGCTTTTTTTTTTCACGCCTCGTTGCGGGCTTCAGGGTTTCCTCGGACATGTAGGGCGGTAGACGGCTGTTTAAAAGCCGATGCTCTCCGGCCGCGTCCCCCCCTCTCCTAGGTACGATTTTTTTTAGTTTATATTTTTTTCCATCCGCGGTTCTTTTTTTTAATCCTCCTCCTAGATCGCCGGAGAAGCGTCGCCCCCCCCTCTGTCCTTCGCTCTCCCCCAGCGCAACCCTCTCCAATGCCCGGGATCCATTCAAACGCGCAGCGCTATGACAGCTGTGAGATGGAATACGATCGCTACCAGCACTATTTCTACGACGACCACGACCTGAAGGAGGATTTTTACAAGTCCACGGCGCCGAGCGAGGACATCTGGAAGAAGTTCGAGTTGGTCCCCACCCCGCCCATGTCGCCCTCCCGGTCCGCGGACGCCGGCGCGGCGCCCACGGCCGGCGACACGCTGGAGTGGGTCTCGCAGTTCCTGGGGCAGGACGAGGAGCAGGAGGGGCACTACAAGATCGGCGCCCCGGAGATCGTGGGCAACCTCAGCTCCATCATCATCCAGGACTGCATGTGGAGCGGGTTCTCGGCCAGCCAGCGCCTGGAGAAAGTGGTCAACGAGCGGCTGTCTGGGTCGGCGCCGGCCAAAATGGGCCACACGGGACACCCCGCCGCCGGGGGCGGCAGAGCCCAGCCCGCTCACCAGGACGCGTCGGTGCCGAGCAGTTCGCCGGCGGACTGCGTGGACCCGGCGGCGGTTCTGACCTACCCCTACAACCCGGCCTGCAAGAAACAGGCTTATTCGGGATCCGAGTCCCGCACGGACTCTGGTAAGGCATCTTTCATTCACGTTTTCTCTTTTTTTTAATGTTGTTGTTGCCGCACATATCCAGGGCGGGGGGGTGCCAGCCGGCTCTGACTCTGCCCCACAGCCCGTAGCTCACAGCCTCGGGGGACGTGGGGCCGAGATGGGGGGACAAACATCGCGGTTTGTGTTGATCGAGGCTGAAATCGGACTCCCCGCGATTGGAGGCGAGCGTGTGACGTCTGCCTGCCCCGCCGGTGGCTCTCCCGGCTCCCACCGCCGCGGTGGTGCTTTGCACTCATGACCTCCACCTGAGCCGTTTCTGGGTCGTGGGGGTAGACGGGCTCTGGTGTCCGCGCTAACTTTAGGATCATCTCACTCCGACAGCCCGGGCATGACTCGGGCGATACGATTCAGCAGCGGCTGCTGGTGACGAAATAGTTGTTGTTGATATGCTTTGTGTGATTGCTTTACCTGGCGTGCACGATAGCGAGCTCAGGTCCACGATAACAGGACAGCAACCAGCATTTGCACAGCCCATTAAACAACTAGTGCAACGCCTGCAAACGGAAGTTGCATAAGTACTGTGATTCGGTTGGGGGGACACTGGATAAACAAAGTATTGAGCTGCTCCAGAGTGCTGCTTCCGACACACACAGGACCGCCCGTGTCACATCTTTAACTGTCTGAGCTTGTAGCCGCGCTCACGCCGAATGCCTGCACTTCGTAAGCAAACATAAACAATCTTTTATTATTGTGGTTTTTGCGCTGTTAACGTGCATTTCGAAAGTATTGATGTGATGATTATTATTATAATTGCATCATGCGCAGCTTTTCTTTTAATTATGCAATGTTCTGCTCTTTTTGGTCAGGAACTACAGCCGCGTGTTCTTGTTTTTAGAAAGCAGAAGGTGGCCGTGGTCCCACTGCAGGCTACTGTGGTTTTGAAATATAATTTTTGCCCCTTCTTTATCGCAACACCTGTTACGCTGTCGTTATTAAAATGATCCAGCTTTTCTTGTCGTTTGTGTCTTTCCTTTTTTTCCTGCTGTTTGACGGTTCCTTTTTATTTACTCTGTGCCTTGTGGCATATTTGCGAGCCCGCCCTACACAAGGGCATCTCGGCAAGCAATAATAAACTGGCGCAACAATAGAGGATTGTTTAGCAGACGGGGCGGGGCTGTGCGTTTGATGACAAGATAGGCAGCCAATTGAAACGAAAAGATGCCAGGATTGGAACGTCGAGACAGCCAATCGGATGAGGGTGAAGGCGGGGCTACAATGCTGCGAACCGGAGGCAGGCAGGAATCGTACAGGACCACGTGGGTTCCTTATACCCCATTGACTAAACTGCTATTTTAACTGAAATCCACTATTCGGTGTTTTTTTTTTAATGTGACCGACATTCTTGGCTGCCTGACTTCCGTATAACGAAATAATTTCTTTTCTGGAAAAAAAAAAGTTGCTTGGCATCTTGCATTTTTATTGCAGTGGCTTCGGAACGTTTTACGGTTTAACGTGGGGTTTCCCAAGTGTGGAGACTGCTTCAGGAAGGGAGACAAAGGGAACTAGGGCGGTGGATTACAGGTGCTATAGAAACGGCGTGATTTAAAGCCTTCTGTTAACCAAGCCGCGGGCTGCTGCCTAGACATACTGTGGGGGGTTGGGTTTAATTCCGGTTATTTCGGGTGATTAAACCCTTGCAGCGAAGTCCCCTTGTTAGGGGTGCGATGCCCGTTGGGTGGTTTCTTTGCCGGCTCCTTCTCGCCCTCTTTCAAAGGGCCGGCCGTGATTGAAGCAGGGAAGCTTCTGGGCGGGGCCAGGCGCTCCTTTCTGATTGAGAGCCCGTGAAAGTGGCGCGTCAGCCGGCGCGAAGGGAGCTATTCAGGTTTTGAACAAAAACGGGGCTCGCCTGCTCAAGCCGCCACCCCCCCCAGCAGCTCCGCTCATTTCACATTCAGATTAACCCCATCGGCGCCGAACAAAAGCCGGAATTCCACCGCGTGTTTCCCGAGAAACCGCTGGACCAGATTGGGCGTCGCAGACTCGTCCCTTCTGGCTCCGGGGATCCCGGAACCGCGTTTCTTTGTGTCCTGAAGAATGCGTGAGCGAAACAAAAGAATTCCACAGCAGAGGGCAGCGAGAGCTACGTGTTTAAAAAAAAAATCCCCATGAATTAATTTAAAAGAAAAGGCTTTTTGCATCACTGATAGAAACATGAACAAATCAAAAGTGAAGATCCTTTAATTCCGGCCTGCGTGTATTCTCTTAAAGGCCGGGGAAGAAAACAAGCTTGACAGGAAGCACTTTGCTGCCTTTAGTGGAAAGAATGTTTCTTTAAAATGGAGTGTGAAGGCGTGCTGAGGTGGGACATAATGGGTTTATTCCCTCGCTGAAAAGAGAAGAGAGAAAACGCAACGTTTCGGGCTGTGAAGCCTTCTTCAGGTGTGAGGTTCGAGATGCGCGTGACTGCACCTGCAGGGGCTCTTTGCTGGAATAGCCTGGCTGGTGCTTGCAGTTTTCGGGGGTGTTTCTGCCCCAGGGCTACCTGTGCAGGTGTGCTTGCAGAGCCGGTAGAAAGTGGAATCCGGCAGAGGGACCTGAGGTGGGAATGTACCTCAGCTGACTGAAACTCGCTTTAGAAGAGGGAAGGAGTGGGGAAACAGACTCTCGCGCTTGGACAGAGCCACTGTGGACGTTGTGGTCATCGTGATGCCGGAGTTGGTTTATTTAGAGGTGCTGGGGTCTAACGGTGATGTCCTACGACACAGCGACTGACGGGGGGGCTGTTTCACACAAAGGGGGCGTCTCTGGCCTGTGGTCACCCCGGTGTAACACAGGCTGGGGTCTGCAGGGTCCTCTTACTCAGGTGGGAGTGCCGATATTAAACGGAGAGGGTGGACGTCCTGTTTGTAGCTGGATTTACACACTGGGGCACGAGATCTGGGCAGGAGTTTGGGACTTTCATAAAAAGGGGACTAACGAGCACAGCGACCGGGCCAGGCAGCTGAAGCCCAGGGGCCGGGCCGCGCCCCAGCTCTGTGCTGACCGCGGCGTCGCGTGCTTTGTGTTGCAGAGGACGAGGAGATCGACGTGGTGACGGTGGAGAGCAAGCAGAGCCGGCAGCTGGCGAGCGGGCGCAAGCCGGTGACCATCACGGTGCGCGCCGACCCCCACGACCCCTGCATGAAGCGCTTCCACATCTCCATCCACCAGCAGCAGCACAACTACGCCGCGCCCTCGCCCGACAGCCCGCCCCCCAAGAGGCCCCGGCAGGAGCCCCCGCCCGAGGAGCCCGCCTGCCCGCCCCAGGACAGCCCCGGGGGCCCCTCCAGCAGCCCGCCCAGCTCGGACGCCGAGGACACGGACAAGAGGAAGACCCACAACTACCTGGAGCGGAAGAGGCGCAACGACCTGCGCTCGCGCTTCCTGGCGCTGCGGGACGAGATCCCCGGCCTGGTGGACTGCCCCAAGACCCCCAAGGTGGTCATCCTGACCAAGGCCGCCGAGTACCTGCGCCTGCTGCACTCCAGCGACAAGCACAAGGCCCAGGAGAGGAGGCAGCTCAAGTCGCGGCAGCAGCAGCTGCTGAGGAGGCTGGCCGACCTCAAGCGCTCGTAAACGGGGGCGGGGGGGGCGCTCGTCGCTCGCTCTTTGCACACCGATTGGCCTCGGGACGGCGGGACCGGGTGCTGGGGGGCACGGCTCGATCGCGCCATGGCGGTGCCCCTCCGGAAACAGGGCCCTGAGCGAACAGCGAGAGCGGGTGGCGGCTCTACTCTTACTATAGGATCTGGTGATGTTTGCATTATTTTTTTTAGGGGGTCTCTCGAGGATATCCTCGCATGCACGGGGTGCTGAAATCCATCTGGGGGACATCCTGCGGGCTCTCTGTGGGGAGGCTGGGGTGCGTCTTCGTTGTCGGTTTAGCATGCTGTTAAGAAGCCTTCTGCTTCGTCGCGACACACACTCACACACACACGCTTGTCCATCCCACACACGTGACCGGAGATGGGAAAAATCCCGTGTCCGCTTTCAATCTCTCCCCCCCCCCCCCCCCCGAAAAATAAATAACACAGTCTTGGTTTCTGATAACGCTTTTTGGCTGGAAAGGGAACCGGGGAATGTGTGCTGTAGCGAAATAAACGCAGGTGTAGTTAACAGTTCAGCCCACCTGCGATGCTCCTCTTGTATCGGGGGGGTGCGATTTGGCTTTTTAAGTAGCTCCTCCTTCTTCGCTTCGATTTCTCGATCCCAAAACAAAGAGAGACTCCACGGCTGGGACATTGCTCGGGGGGGCGAGATGACAGGGACCGGAATGGAAGTCGCATCCCCAGAGGGTGTTTCTCACGTGCAGCGCATGCTGGTTTTATGCACATCCCACTTTCGAATTCTGGTTTTATTCAAGGTAAATCGCCGATCAACAGTAGCATTTCCGGACTGTTGCATCTGTGGAACAGTGTTTGACTCAGCTTTGCAGTGTAAATAGTCATTTATATGTCCTTGAGACTTTGTACATAGCTGTGAATGATCCTGCTGTATAGATTCTTATCTGCTGTAAATAGTAATACTCTACTTCAAGAGCCAAAATCAAATGTTGAAGGACCTTTCTTTAAATTTCTTTATTTTCATTTGATTTGAGTGTTTTTTTCCTAATGTTCTCAGACTTGGGGCTGACCTAACAGGCTCTCTAAGGTTTACTTCAGAGCTTCTATTTTTGTTAAAAAATAATAAAATGAAATAAAATAACACTACTGTACTTTACTTTAACTACACTCGTCACTTTTACGATACTGTCCTCACTGCCTGTACTTTTTTTTTTTGTTGTTGTTGATTTCTATACAGTATCTGGAAAAAAGAAAAGCAAAAGTTTATACTATATTTTCCTACAACGTTACGTTTGTGAAAGCTGGAGACTTGTTTTCTTTTTTAAGGTCATGAATTGTACGAGTAACAGGTGGTATGTGCTGGGATTTCTGTCAGTTCTCTCAGCTTGCACTCCAGGGAATCGGTCCTGCGGTGCTCTGTGGAAACTAAACACAGCAGAACGTTTGGACCTGCGGACAGAAAAACGAATGTTTATCCGAGTAGGCGTGGCGGATCGGAGATGGATTTCTTCCTGGCGCAATTTAATTACTGGCTGTGGAGAAGATGGATGCATTGGGGGAACAAAGGCCCAGACCAGATGCCTCTCTGATTTTATATTTGGAATCAGCTGTTTGCTGTTCAGAAAAAAAATTACAAGTAAATCAGAATTAAAACTTGGTATGCACCAATTAAGGTTTATTCATTTGTCCGTTAAAGCAAACCCTTTAAAGGCTGAGACTTTGTAAAATGCCATCTACACTGAGAGAATGAAAAAGTTCTCTGTAGCGCTGTCTGTGAAAGAGCCCCGTCCTCTCGATGAACAACCAATGGAAATTGAGTTGTTTTTTTCTTTTAGAAAAGCTGATCTATTCAGTCTTCTAGTTTAGCTGAATGGTGACAGAGGTCGAGACACTTAGGTTTTTAGCCTCTGTATTCCTGGCCTTTTGTACTCCTCCTTGGATCGGTATTGGCTTTCCTTTGTGTCGTTGTAAGACTCCTTCCCTTTGGAATTTGAGACGCTGTTTGCTTTTTTTGCTGTTGCATTGTCCAGCACATACCACCTCACTTTTTCTTTTATATTATCTGGGGAAAAAATAGCTTTATGAATGACTGATCTACACCGAATTCGGTCTGTCATTAATACGTGCTGTCAACTTGTTCCTATGTTTCATTTGGAATGCTGATTCGGTTCTAGAATGGAATAGAACCTCAGTTCTGTTTAGCACTTTGTGTTCAGTACCTCATGAGAATAAGAATTAAATCAAACAAAAATCATTTTTCTGTCTCTCTTTTTTTGTGCTGCATGTGGTGTGTGTGTGTGTGGAACAAAACCCACATATGGTTGCTGTATTTTCTTGGCTTGCATAGGTGACAACTGTGTGCCATTTAACCTGATGCAGATAAGTGGCTGTAACTATCTGAAACACAATGACATCTCTCAACGTCTGGATTTGAAGAACATTTGTTAAAGGTAACATGGTTTCAGAATTGAAACCTTAGGCCAATTTAAAAACACCCAGCAGCGGTCTTAAAGACACTGATCAGCACTAAAATTGATTCGGGTAAAAAACTCTGGGACTAGCGTTAATCTCTCCAAATGGATTCCCCGAGGTTGTCCTGTGTCTGAAACAGATGCTGTATTTCACAAGCCGAATGATGTCAGGGAGCTTGATCCCTGTAAACAGCTGAGGGAGGAGAAAGAAAGTGTTTTAACCTGTTCTCATTTTGCAACAGTAGCACATGTCTGCCTCTTCTGCACACACAGGCTTAACCCCTTTTTTAAAAAAAAGAAAATAGTTTTGCCTTCACTAAAACTTTGGTCACAGAAATATAATCTTCAGACGAAAAGACAGACAAAAGCAAAAGGTACAAGCGAGGAGAAAGAAACGCCAGTCACGCCCACAGCGGTACTCATGAGAGCAGCCTGTGGGAGATCGCTGTCAATCCAGATCTCTGGAGTTCACCTGGCAATTGCGTTTATGTTCATATCTGCCACACCCTGTTCTCGTCTCGGAGTCCTCGGCCCTTCAGAGTCTCTGAAGGGGATGATGAAAAAAAGTCCTGTCCCGGTTAAAAAAATATTTCTAGCATTTCCAGGTAGGATTGTCTCTAGAACATACCTCGAAGCGATGTTCTGTTAGCCTACTCGATACGATCTCTGTAGAAATTCCGTTTTCGGAAGACAACAAGTGCTCTGTCTTTCTTACTAATCGCTTTAATTCGAGTTTAAAGTTCACCAAAGACGTCGTAAGGCGAATTTATACATTTGCTAAATCGGAGTTGTTGTTATGATGATGCATTTGGGTAACTGACTCACTTTGCTATACAAACGTAATTCAAGATTCATGCTTCAATATTGAACAAAACGTACTACAAATATCGTTTTCTAGGTACAAAAATTCAGAATAATAGGTGAGTTAAAAAAGTTAGTGTAAATTAAGTTATATTGGAAAGTGAAATTTAAAGAGCCCAGAGGCAATTACTCATCCAGCAGGATGGATTTTCTTTCCTTTCTACGAGACAAAAGCATTGGTTTACTGTGTAACCATCCGCTTCTCTGATCTGCAACAGAATGCCTTGCCAGTAATTAACATCTCAGGGGCGAAGGACACAGAAATCGCGCAGATTAATCACCGGAGATGGCGAGGGAAAAAAAAACTAGTGTCCCCATCCTGTGACGTCTGTTCCAAGCGTCAAACAAACAACGTCCTGTGGGGGGCATGAACCCATCATTTTATCGATTTAGTATTTATCTTAGGTGTCCTATAAAGGCACCTTCTAATGTACTTTAATGCAATGAGAATAAGATGATCAGAATCAAGACTCGTGAGTCAGGCTGGGGTGGTTTCGATTAGTGTCTTTCTGGGTGAATGGTGTTAGTGCTTTGAGCTGCCTAATACATTTCACAAATTCCATATTGTGATATATATATATACATTTAAATCCACACACCAGTTCAGGAGTTACTGTTACGTAACGATAGTGGTCCGATTTGAGAGATCCAAATGAATTGTTGCTTTGTGTTGAGGAGTCACTGTGTTCTCCGGCAACACCTGTGTGGGCAGGTGTGTGTGAACTGGTGATGGCAGGCAGCCCTTTCTCATTCGCGCGGCCGTTTCCACGGAGATGCATCGTAGCCTCTCTTCGCCATGGCAACAGCATCTTCCAGTTCCAGGGCTCGGATCTGTCAGTTTCCATAGCAACCGAGCTATTCGCTTCTCCTGCCTTTCCGAAGGTGTTAAACGCCGTTCCGCGGTTTGACACGTTAGAGCTGGGTGTGCAATATATCTGGCGGCTCCGAAATCGAACGACATGTTCTTGTAATAATGACATTATTCCCAACGCCATTCGGCGGCGAAATCTACAGCTGACACACGAATATCCCAAAGGATATGTCCTGTTAAAATTATTTGACTTCTATATTTGTATGTTTTATTGGTAACGGTTGAACGAGAATTCAGGAAGTACAGAACCCCATTTCGGAGATAAAACCAAGTGCACGTCGTGCATCGCGCAATCCAGTCTTAGGCTAGTCATTATGCACATAGCTAACGACTCACAGAGCAATGTCTGGCTTGACGGGTCACATTTACATTCTTGGGAGGGGAGATCAATGAAAACTCATTTATTGGCATTGAACCGGCGCTGACAGTTATCGAATTGCAACCTTGGCTGAAGGTTCAAGACCTTCTGTTCCTTTTAAGGGCTTCGTTTTCATAGACGTCTGACATTGTTCCCAGACATCAATCGATGCCCAGGCCCCCCGAGTTCCCGAGGCAACCGTCCCCATTTCCACGGCAACTGCTTCCTGGTTGCCTAGTAACCGTACCGAAGCTCCCGTGTCTCCTTCCGCCTCGCTCCGCGTGCTCGCTGCCGGAGCCGTCATGATGGCCGCGGCCTCGCTCGCCCTGCAGAACACGCTGAAGAAGGGGGTCGTGCCTCCGCTGGTTGTGATTCTCGGGGCCACCGGCACCGGCAAGTCCAAACTGGCCATAGAGATCGGACGGCGGATGCAGGGCGAAATCATCAGCGCCGACTCGATGCAGGTGAGCGATGAGCGCAGGCGGACCAGCCCGACGCGTGAGAACGGGGAAGGCCTAAAAGCCTGGGACTCACTTAGCTGAGCTAACCGGGCTTACATCGCACAACGAGGCGCATGGGACAGAAGGACGCCCGCAGGAATAAACTAAGTACCAGCGAACAGTTTAGCAGCTGTGTTGCTCTATGTACTGTTGATCTTCGTTTTAATCACTTGCTTAGCATTTATAATGAAGTATTCTTATTGTGGTTGTTGTTCTTTTATGTAATGCCTTAACAATCATACGCCAATGTAAAATGTACACCAGCACCTACAGTTTCTTAAAATGATCGAGCGTTTATCATTCCAAATGGCTCACAGCACAAGCTCGGGTAAAACTCGGGTCCAAGACAACAGTGATATTTCGAGATGTCAGTTAAGGCGCAGAAACGCCTCGTCATTCTTTTGCTTTGAACATCCGAATTATTTTTTTGTTTTTGTTTTTAAAGTATTGCGTGGATACACGGACAGTTAATCTGTAATTATCAGGAGAAGGTCGTTTTCTTCGTAGCTTTACAGAAAAAAAAAGTGAAGTTATGATAAACACGAACCACGGCTGTAGCAGAGCACATGTTGTTGCTTTCTGGAATCGTAAAGCTTTTAGTGTCCTCTGGTCAAATGAGGAGATGGCTTCCCCATTACTGACTGCAGCAGGGCTGTCCACCTTAATTCCTGCAGGGTCTAGTGCCCTCTGGGTTGTAAACAGTTAGTCTCATAATGTAACAAACTGCAGGAGTGTAATACGTCGAAATGGGCTCTGGGGAGGTGTATAGGTAACTTTACCTCAAATGAAGCGAATAGTTTAATTTATCAATTGCAGAAGATCTTTAAAAAAAAACCCTAGATATGAGAAATTAATTACAATTAAATAGATGATTGTTTAACAGAGGACACGAGTCGGAACAAAGCCCAGAAAACACCAGTCTGACCCCCCTGAACTACAAGCAGTACAGGGATGCTGGAATGCAGAGTGCAGGGTGGCACATGTTCAGATCGTGTGGCAGCTCTAGAACAGCTGAACAAGCCTGGGTCTAACCCAGGACTCGGGGGCTGCTGTCCAGCAGGGCTCACTGGCCCCTTTAAATCTCTAGCTTCTCCAGAAAAAGGACAGGCTCCTACTTGTCCGGTTAAGCAGATGATTAGCTCAATTAGGTAATTAAGGCATCAGGTGGAAGGAAAACCAGACACCTGACTGTGCATTAGGAATCTCTCTGCTTACATAAGATAAGAGATAAGATCACTTTATTGGCCAGATACAATTTCGTGTGTTAGGAATTTGTCTTTTCACATACCCCAGCTTGCTCTCCATGAGACACACAGACAGGGAGAGAAGCCTGGGGTCAGAGCACAGGGTCAGCCATTTATACGGTGCCCCTGGAGCAGTTGGGGTTAAGGACCTTGCTGACCTTGCCCAACAGAGTAGGATTCCTCTGCCAGCCACAGGATTTGAACCTGCGACCTTCCAGCCACAGGCGCAGATCCTTAGCCAGAGAGCCACCACATGGCTTGGATGAATTATCTCCAAGGAGGAGCAACAGACTAAGATGTTGTGGAAAAACGTACCAAAACAATCAAACACAACTCATAGGAAATTATGAAAAAACGAGAGGAGGCCATTCAGCCCTCATGCCTGTTGGTTAGTAAATTAGTATCTCATCCTGCCATTTCCTGAAAGAAGCCATGGTATCTGATTCAGCAGCACGGCTGGGTGGCTTGTTCCATGCTCCCACCACCCTTTGGGTATAGAAATGCTACTGATCTTGGTTTTAGTTTCAGTGATTCTTTTCTTTCTTTCCCTTATGCAGCTCTGCTTTACTGTTGTGGGGTATTTTAGGGCACTTCCTAAAAATAACACCTAAAAGCACGTGAGGTCTCGGTCCAAATGTCCAAATGCTTTTTGTGAACCAAGTAAGCTGATGTGCTTATTCTTTTTAACAGTCAACACCTGTCCATGGTGGGGTGGTGACTGAGGTCTTGCTCATATTGAATGAGAGGCAATTAAGTTATAGTTTAATTAATTCTAGTTTCACCTTTTGAAACATTTTTGTAGTTTTTAATACATGTATGGATATATTCTGCCTCTGTTTTTTCTCTGACTTTGTGCTTTCAAAAGCAGGCAGAATTTGTAAGGCAAAACTGGAATACCCGTCCATGAGGATAAGCAGCATAAACGGGTGTTGAGTTGTGTATGATGTTCAGTTTAACTTGATTCGTAATTTTGTTGTGCTGTAACTGGAGAAATGTCCTTATTTCACCTTTGAAGTGCTTTTCTTGATCTGGGAGTGGAAATACTGTACTTTTGTTGAACGAGGTTAAGATAAAGAGGTGACTTTGTGAGGCTGATCTGTGGAATCCTGGCTGCCCCTGGTTTGCAGACTTCAAAGTCAGGATTCATGGCTTTTCTGTGTCTCAACTCAGATGACCATCTGGAATGTTTACGGGCTGAAGCTGCATTCCTGTTGCTACCGAGTAGCTTTTGTGGGAATCTGGATTCAGTACGCTGTCTCATCTTGATGAAATGTTTGAGGAGCAGAAAACTCAAGGACCTGCGATCAGTGTTTGTGATGGGCGGTAACTTAGTAAAGGAATTATTTCTGTTCTGCTGAACAAGACCTTTGCCGTGTGGCGTGCTACATAGGGATAGCAGGACCTACTGGGGCATCAATGGTCTCTTTCTGTTCTGTAGTGCGTCTGCAGTGGAACGTGGAAAAGAAAATTCCTGTCCTGTAGCAGTTTGAGTCATTTTAGGGTTTATTAGCTCAAACAAGTCCGATCGTGTTGGCTTTGGAGCTCAAGTATGTTTAAATTTGCTTAGAAAATAAATACACAGAAGAAAGAGACTCAAGCAAAGAGAGTTTCCACCTCTTTTTTTGTATTTGTCTCCAATGTGAACTTAGAGTCTGGGGTGCTTATTTCTCTGAAGAAATAAGAAATCTTCCCAGGGTTTGTGCTGAAGGGTGTTATATAGAGAGGTGGGTGGCTTTCTGAGAGAGGACTGTGTTGTTTTCACTTGGTGTTCTCACACCGTGCATGCATGGTAAAGACATCTAGCATCTCCAGTGCCTTAATTCATCAGGAGCGCATTCATCAGAAAGGAAAGGCAGCAGGAAACTTCTTGTTACTTTTCAGTCAGAACTTCCGGAACTGACTATGGAACCGGGAGCTGTGGACTGAAGTACAAAGAGCCTGCTTGAGTCTTTCAAGCTGAAGAGGTTTTGGCTAGGCTGAGCCAAGACAAAGGGTTTTACAGCTCTGAACTGCAAACCCCTTTCTTAGCTAAGCAAATAAATCTGTATTCCTCAGGCTTTATTTTGTGTTTTCAGCCCGTCCAGTCAAGGTGCGAAGCGAGAGGCGGGGGTTTTGTGAGGCGAGTGATTGCTGGTCCGTGACCCCGTGAGGGTGTGAAAGAGTCGCTGGCTGCGCCGCCTCTGTTGGGAACTCATTGCCCTCCCTCGGCTCTGCACCGTTCCCAGCTCCCTCCGGCTTGAGGATCAGGGATCAAAGCCCCTTCCCCTGCCCTTTGTCCCGCAGCCAGGCTGGGGCTCGGCGGGGCTGGAGGAATGAACAGAGGGACACAAGAGAAACAAGAAGAGTGGAAGAGCGTGTGTTTTCTTGATCGGCAAAGAAAATGGGTTGCTAATCGGTAATAATGAGCAGGTTGTGCTTTAGATATCTTGCAGCATGCTAGTGGTGTATTTTATTGTAACTGAAAGGTCTTTAAGTAATTAAAACAGGGCCTTTACTTGGTGGACAGTAGACATGGGATGTGACAGACTCTGACAGAAAGAAATGTTTTGGGCCGTGAAGTGACAGGTGATGAAGGCAGCTGTGGTTGTGCAAAAGTACCACAATTTCTGAGACGCCAGCCTACTGTTACAGGTTATGAAAACAAGCAACCACATGTATTTTGACAGCTGTTCTTTTCCTGTAGAGGAGGCCTAACATTTGTTGTAGGACTGTAACACATTGATCACAAAAGGAAAAAGAGAAAAGAAATCTTGCACCTGGAGAAGTAATATTCTACATGCAAGCCCTTGAGTTGTTTTACTGTATATGTCAGTCAGACTAGGGGAGGTAGCTCAAAAGACAGAAACTGATATTGACAGACTCTCCTTCTTCGGAATCAACAATGAAGCCTGAGCCAGAGGACACAAGTGGAAGCAACACGCAAGAGCATTTAAAGTTGAGAGCACCAGGCTCTTCTTTACATAAAGGGTTGTGGGAGTATGGAACAAGCTGGCAACTTTTTTTTTTAAGCTGATTCCTTGGGTTCTTTTGGGTGAGATCCTCAAATTAATTACTTCTGGATGGGCTGAATGGCCTTCTCTCGTTAGTTATTTTCTCCCGTTGTGGGGTATTTATCCACAGCGTCCCTCTCTGTTGTTCCTTCCTGGAGATAGTTTGTCCTGGGAAGAGTTTCCTTAAAGATGTTGGCCTCGCCCGCGGCAGCAAACTAGGGCACGCCAATCAAATTGAGGGGGATGGGCGCTGTAGTGGCCTGTCTCTGGAGTCAGCTCAGCTCCTTTCCTTGGCTCTTGTTGGCTGGGTGGGGGAACGGTGCAGCGCGTCTGGAGGAGAAGATGCAACCAGAGGGGGGCGTTGCTGCGCGCCCCGTCAGATTTCCCACGCCACTCTCCAAAGGACCGCCAGGCCCTGCCCCGCCCCCCCTCCCCCGCCACACCCCGTCATTCCCAGGATCAGTGGGAGCTGGGAAAGGCTGGGAGAGGCCGCAGGGCTCGGGACGAGCTAGCAGAAGAACAGGCCGTGTGTCACCCTGTTGTGTGGGGTCTTCCCTCTGACTTTCTCAGAGGCCATTTAATGGGTCAGGAGGCAGGAATAATGGCAGGAGCTGAGAGCAGCTTAAACCGGCAGAGGAATTATTTGGAACCTGGTGAGGGGGAACAGTGCTCATCCTGTGACCGCAGGGTGTCTTTAATTTCAGCTTTACGCCTTAAAAGTCACAGGCAGGTTTCCTGCCGAGGGCAGTCCATTTCTTTTTCTTACAGATGGGAATTTGTTTTCACATCATGAGGAGGCTACAAGCTAGGAGCCACAGGTGAGACTGATCCAAATGCACCTTGGTTGCCTTCACACAACATGCCTTCCACATGTAGAACTTCCCTGCAAATGCCTTGGAGTCTTTAGGTGGGGAGCACCAGCTGCACTCTGTATTGCTGTATTGCATGGGCACACACAAAGGAGAGAATGCGCTTGTGGGATCCGTCTTGCATATGAGGCCGTGCCTTTCAGATCAGCTCTCTGTTTGTGGCCGTGGTGTGTATCTTTCTTTTTACTGTCCTCATGCTCATGTCTGTGTGTAGGTCGTGGCAGCTGAGGATTAACAACTGAGGATAAGTTAAAAAAAAAAAAGTCTGGTTGCTTATTGTCAGGCAATGTCTGCCCCCCTGCCCTGTGCCCTGAATGGAAGCATTCACAGGAGATTTTGGTATTTCCTCAGAAAGCCCAACAATACATGTAATTTACATGGGCAGCTGTTAAGCAAGTGGCCAGCGAACAGTCCTTTTTGGATGAGCACAGAAGTACAGTTGTGACGCACATGGCTGTCTTTGTTGTGTAGTCACAGCCTGTGTGTGTTTTACTCTCGCGTGAAAGGATTTATTCGTTTTCAAAAGAATTCTAAAAGATGTGTTTTTTGTGTAATTGTGTAAAACCATCGGGCTGGTGACTCATTTACACTACTCTCTCTGAATTCCTGGTTGCAGTAACGTCATAACTGTACTGAAGTAGGCAGGAACTGATGAATAAAGTCAACACTTTATCAATACATACTGGAACCAACATAAATCAGAGGAGCAGAAGCAACTGGTGGCTGAATGGGCACAGGAAGCTGTGTTATTGCTGCTTTGCGTGGCAGCTGGTTTCTTTTTTTTGTTTTGTCCTAGATTTCTGCACACCTTCTTCCTGTACGGGTTTAAATTTTCCCTTCGTCTGTCATCTGCAGACTCACGGCTCACAGTTAGTTCCCAGATATTAAAATGCAGATTAGGTGTTATTGAGTTGCAGGTGGTATCTGCTGCAGCAAGGGTATTGTCGAGGGTTAACGCGTTTCCAGATAGCTCTCCTGATTTGAAATTGCAAAGCCGCGTCTGGATGACAAATTTGGAATGCATCACTTCTCTGACGAAGACGGTGCATAGTTACCTCTCGCAAAAAAAGAGAAGGTGGGTTTCTTTCTCTTCCCGTTTATGGAACGGGACCTGATAAAGAATCTGGAATTGTGCTTTCTCGATTCGAGAAGACAGACTGAGCACCGTTTTCAGGGAGCTGGGCGTCTCACCACCACGCGGCGCGTGATTTATCCGGTTCAGAGAGGCATTGAGTCTCATTTCAAGGTGAGCGCGCTGAGAGTAATTCTAGTGGGGATCTAGCCTTTGGAGGACCGGGTTCAAGAAAAAAAGCAAATTTAGCCGCGAAGATGTTCGCCCGACAGTCCAGATTCCTGTGAGCTCCTGAGTCTCACATGAGGCCCCCCAAGCACCACCTCTAAACCATACGAAGGTAAGAGTTCAGACTGGGGGGGGGCTGGCCGTCTGAAGTTTGTAAGTGTCGTGTAAATGCGTGCGAAAAGCTGAGGCGACTGCAAAAAGACAAGCCAGGTTCGTGGTGGTTTACTAGACTTGCTTGACAGGGGGACTCCCACAGGAGGGCAGGACAAGAGACGAGGGTGGGGAGGTTCTGTCGCCCATCCTGAGCGGCGCTGCTGAGCAGGCCAGGGTGTTGATTCCTGAGTGGGGCTGTGGGTCAGGGTGAGGGCAGGCCGGCTCCTGGCGGCGGCGTGGCAGCTGTCTCGCGCAGAGCCCGAGGTCCAGTGTCTTTCGGGCGGGCGGGCGGGCAGGCGCTGTGGCGAGCACAGAGCTCTATTGTTCGGCCGGCTGTCTGGGGTGCTGCCCAAGCGGAGCTAGCGCAGCTCCTGGGTCCGCGAGCGAGCGGCTCTGGAGTCACAAAGAGAAGGGCAGAGGGGTGGCGCAGCAGAGCTCATTCATCAGTCTGCTATGTTCTTTTCGAGCGTGTGTGTGCGTGTGAAATGGAACGGAAACAAAGCCAGGCCCGGCTTAGGATTTTCCACACAGACCCTGAGAGGCATGAAACACGCCACAGACGAATACTGGAAGCAGTCGCATTGGTTTGCATTTTTAATGCCTCTCGTTGTAGGTATATTTTAAATGCCTGCCTCGGGGCAAACAATCTTGAGAAATAAAAGGAAAATTCATCCACATCTTCCTACAGTTTGAATCGTTTTTTCCTTTGGCAAGCGTTTCGATTTCTGTCTTCCTCTGGGAGAGGTGGGAGGAGAGCTTGAGGACGGCCTGCTAGGACATTTCATTTTTTAAAACAGCCAAAAGAAACTTACACTGTAAGTTTTAAAACTGCGAGGAGAGTAAATAATCAATTTTTTAAGGTTTATAAAAAGATCAACTTTTTGGTAGGAAAACAGACTGCAGGCTCTTGTGGAGATGATATCCAAGGAGACTGAGAGGAATCGCAGCTGGTATTGTTTTTTAGTTTTTGCAGATTCATTCAGACTAGGGCACAAGGCCTGATGCATCCACCGCCTGCTGGTGCTGCCGTTTGTAGGATATGACCTGCTGTGCTGTTGGAGTTCAGTGGATAGAGAGAAATGAGATCTGTCTGCTGAAGTTGCCTCATTGCAGCGCCTGTTTTCTCCGTCGGGCTGCGCTCTCGGCAGGACATGAGAGCGCACCACCTGGCTGACAGCCTCTCCAGGTGGGGTGTCTGTTACCCCACCTATGCACTCCGTCTCAGCGTTGCTCGTTCCTCCCCCCCTCTACTCCCCTCTCTCTTTCACCCTGAGCGCGCGGTGTCATGGACTGGCATGGCACTCAGTAGTGTGAGATCCCATCGGCGGCTGTGCTGGCACCCTGGCACCCCAGCCCCTCCTCCTGCACACCTGCCCGCTGTGCTGCGGGCAGCCCGGCGTCGTTAGGTGGTCGTTTTCTTTCTCGCGTGAAAGCAAAACCTGAGGGAGGAGATGGAGATGGCCTGGTGTGGTTTCCCAGGTAAGTGTAGAAGTCAGTGTGTTTTGGAACGCCGGGAGCAAAGGGAGCGAGCGTCCCGGGACTCTGCGTTCCCAAGTCTGGGAGCTCCCAGTCAGGGCACACTGCCACCCAGTGGGTTTTCTGCATGTCTTTACCAGCGAGCGGCTGGTGTGAGGGGGTTAAACCCCCAGCCCTCTACCGTGGAGCCCTCCTCCTCGGATCCCTTCTCCTCAGTCGGTGATGGTGCAGGAGGCCGAGACACGCCCCTGTGTCCCTCCGAGGAGCAGAGCTGGGCCACCTGTGTGGTCACTGGTTCTGAATGGCGACGTGGGATTAACGACCCTGCAGAGCCTCTCCGTCTTTCCTCTTCCCTGCTTGGACACGCGGTTTGTTTCGAACGGGCGAGCTCTCCACCCGATAGTCCTTTTCTGCACAGGACAGGTCCCAAACAAGAGGCCACTCGGGCTCAAGTTTAACAAGAATTCATATGGCAAGTGAGGAGTCTGAGAGTTTCTTTAATGATATGCCTTCTTCCTCTGGTGGATTTACCGCCCCTTTAAGTGCTTAAATCCTGCACGGGCTTTCTGGTTTTTTTTCCTGATCCCACCGCTAACCCCCCCCCCACCTCCTTCCACCTCCCGCCTCCCGCCTCCTCCCACCTCCCTACCCCTTTCCTGTGTCGGCAGGGGTGTCCTGCAGGGATGCTGAATAATTCAGCAGTTGATTTCGCTCTCTGGTACGGCACGCAAGTTGGGAGCGCACGGAGCACCGGGCTGGCACGCTCCCGGGCGCCATCCTGCTCCCCGCGCCTCCTCCGCAGGGAGCGTCTCTCCGGAGTCGGGGTGTCTTTAGTGGCATGAACCCCTTAACCCTCCTTCCTTTCCTCTCCTCTGGGCGCCGGAGTCGGCCGTGCAGAAGCGTCGGAGGAGAGTGCTCATTTGGGTTTCTCTGTAATGATACCCCAGCTGCGGAGGCCGTCTGTTGTTCTGGCAGACCTGGCGCGGGTCGCTTTCAAAAAGGCTGAGTGCGTCCCTCCAGCTGAGAGTCTTTGCCGTCCAGCGGAGGCAAAGTGTCGTGCAAGTTTTAGGAGGGTATTTTTCAGGGTTTGGCGGGGGGGGGGGAACTGTAAGACCCAAGATTAGCTCCCTCTCAAAGTGCTTTCCTCTTCTGACTCCCGGACGTTGCATGCCTGTCAGAAGCACTAGCCCAGTCCTTGACGCTGGTTATCCTGCAAGGTGGAGGCATGAAGCCTGTGAGTGCTGGGTTTGTGGTTGCCAGATCTATTCAGTTGCTGACTGTCATCTGGGTTTCAGTCTGAGTAAAGGAGCCTGCGGTTCTCAAAACCTGTCACGGCTCCAGGTGCTAAGGACTGGGAACCTTCTTTCCATTGCCCGTGGGCCTGCTGAACCGCTGTGTGTCCCGGCAGGTGTACAGAGGCCTGGACATCATTACCAACAAGGTGACGGCGGAGGAGCAGGAGCTGTGCCCCCATCACATGATCAGCTTCGTGGACCCCCTGGTCAGCAGCTTCACCGTGGTGGACTTCAGGAACAGGGCTCTGCCCCTCATATCCTCTCCGCCCGGCCTCCGCGCTCCCGGCCTCGGACAGCACGCGCCAGTTGTCGGAGTCACAGCCGATGCCTGATGGGGATTCATTCGCTCGCAGAGAGAGGGTGGCAAAGCTTTGCAACAGTACAAAAGCATGTAAACCCCTGGTAGAAGTGCAGGTGGACATGCGGGAGTATTTTCAGAATCTTGCTCCCGATTTTGGCCTTTTTTATTTTTTTTTTATTCTGGGGAGACCTGTCTCCCCTCCTTTTTGACGGATTGCGTTGGTTATATCCAGTTTCTCCAGTCAAGTGAATTTCAGAGTGATGTTGCAGCACACAGTGCTCCATTATGAGCCAGTGTATACACCCGCGTGTGTCAGTGTGAGAGGATGTGTCCTTATTTTTGTGTGGCCTGAGGCGTTGTGTTTTCCACTGCGCCGTGTGGAGTTAGATGCCACAGTCCTGTGCTTCTGTAGCTCTTACTGCTCTTCCTGCCGTGCGTGCCTTACCTGATGCCCTTGGGCTGGCTGAATTATTCAGGGTATGGCTGCATTATTGTCCAGGCTCAGAAACGGGTACAATGCTCGCGTCTCCTGCCCTTCCTTTTTAAAACCCTGCATGCAAATCTGCTCCTCTCCCCTTGGTGCAGGTTTTTATTTTGCAGTGGATTTATTTGTTGGGGAAAAAAAGCAAGTCACATTAATTCCAGATACATTGAAGAGAAAACATTGTCAGTTATGTGGTCCCTTACAGGGGTTTGCATGAAAGCATGTGTGAATATATGAAATGGTACAGTAGATGCTGTCTAGGTGGTTATGCTAGGAGGCTGCATTGGGGATTGACTTGCACTCCAGATATGTGCTGAGCTAGCCTGCACATTGCTTGGATTTTGGTGTTAGCCGTTAACAAGGGACACCGAAGGTCTAGATATGTTTAAATCTTGCAGGAGCCCTATATAAGTGCTTCTAGGGGGAGCAATGTGGAAGATGATGATGGAGCGTCCTTATTTTTAGGGAGCTGCAGAGGTGGGAGTATGCGTCTGAGCCGAACAGCACAGAGCGATATTAATAGACAGGGGAGGCTGCTACTTTAATAGCAGGGTGCTGCGCACGCAAACTGTCTGACAGGGCTGCAGCTGTGCACAGCCTTGGAACGGCACTAGAGGAGTGTAAATAACAGCACACCAGCCACTCGCGGTAACTGGAGCAGAAGACAAGCTAAGAATAGGAACAAGCCTCCACTGCATTTCTGTGGGCGGCTAGGTATGACAGTCGCTGACAGGTAGTCAGTGGACAGGCTAGCGCAGGGATCAGGAGGACAGATGCGTCGGGGGATATCAGCACTCCCTCTTATTCTGTTGTTGCATTTAAGACGTGCGGCAGAGAGCGGTGTTTCACAGTGATCTAGAGCGCTTGTCAGGATAAAACTTGAGTTGAGAATATCGGGGCTATTACACTCAGTTGCGCCCACGTTTTGATTTCAATGGCATCCTACAGAAGAGGACACACAGCTGTTCATAACCAGAATAACTGAGTGCATTTTGTAAGAGAGAATCCATGTCGGTGTGCAGCTACCAAGTCTGTTTCTTTCCATGTTTGGTAATCTGCTTTTAAATAAAATAGTTATTTTTGTGAAATTGCATGAATGCAGCTCTGCCCTTGTGGGACTTATTGATCTGGGACTTTGGGGGTTTTTGATTCTTGGTTTAAGTGTTCTCTAACTTTTCTGTCTGTGAGGTTGCAAAGGGTTAGAAAAACTGGGCTGCATTCTAAGTGGTATAATTTCAAACCCTTCCTGTTTTTCACAACCAGCCCTTGATAAGGTGTATGTGAGTGTGATGGTGGGGGTCTTTCTGGAGAATCTAAGGAAAGTGTTGCATGCATGCCACGCGAGTTCACCAGCTTCAAAATTCAGAGATGGCATTGCATTTTACTTTGGGGTTTTCGGTATCCTGCCTAGTCTACCTGTAAAAAAACGAGGTGTGAATACAGAACAAAGGGCCCGCAAACAGGCAGGTCTGCAGACTTTAATTCCTCCTCAGCTGTTAACAACTTAACTCAGCTCATTATTGGCTGAATCGGACCAGTTTAACAGCTTCTGCCATCTGTTCGTCTATTAACTGTACACTACTACTTTAAAGAGACCTAAAATCCTGCAGAGATACCAGGATGAAGAGTGGACCTAGTCCAAAATATTCGGACTCAGTCTTCCAATTTTGCTCATCATTAATTATAAGTAGCTACACCAGTGGTGGCCTTTGCTGTTTCCTTCTGTATTAAACCCAGAATGTTTTATGCATCTCTTATATATAAATATCTCTTATATATGCTCTTATATATGCACCAGTAGACATTGCTCCTGTATGTTTTCTGTCTTTCAAAACCCCTGTGCAGTGAGTGAAAGCTGTCCTTTTCACATGTCATGCATATTGATTTTCCTTAATGAGACACATTGAAGACATGCACCAGAGGGAGAAGATGCCCATAATTGTAGGAGGCACCAACTACTACATCGAATCCATATTGTGGAAAGTGCTCTTGGACACCAAGGTGAGGAGTGCCACTAAGCAGTACTACCCAGCTTTTATCCAAGCCTGACTTTTGCACCCATTTATAGAGCTGGGCCTTTACTGCATCGGTCTGACAGAGATGCCTTGCTCAAGGGTAAAACAGGGTAAAACCTGGGCTTCGAACCCACAACCTTCCGGCTAGTCCAGGACTCCTCACTCCTGTCCCAGACTACCAGGGCTCGCCTTAGGAGGGTTAACTATTGAACGGTAGAGGAATTAAGAAATTTTAAAAAAAGGGCAATTGGGAAAATGTTGGTTTATCTGGGAGTGGGGCTTGATGTTTTCACGAATGGGCCAGACTCGAAGAACTGAGAATTGAGAGCTGGGCTGCAGGGGTGTAACACGCAGAGGGCTCGGATGTGTGCAGAGGTGCAGAGGGGGGTGGGGGCCTGGAATCTCGAATGCAAGACTGAGCTGGGAGGGGAGGGGGGAGGGCTCTGCTGGCGGTGTTAGCGAACAGGAATGATTGAAGTGGGAAGAGGAAAGCAGAGGTGTGTGAGGAATGTAAAAAGCATCAGGGTGTGGATTAGCAGCGCAGTGAGAGAGGCTCTTGTAGGTGAGTGAGGCTGACGGCTGGGAGCTGTTGTGCAAGGAATAGGAATCTAGACCGGCAGTCAGCTCAACTCCAGCTCAGAACGAGCTTTATTGGCGTTGCATATTGCACACAGGCCACCAGAGCATCTGTTCAAAACAGAGTTACTATATAATAATTAATAATAATTGCTTACACTTTCTGGACACTCCACTCAAAGCGCTTTACAGGTAAAGGGGATCCCCTCCACCACCACCAGTGTGCAGCCCCACCTGGATGATGAGACGGCAGCCATAGTGCGCCAGTACACCCCCCACACACCAGCTCTCAGTGGGGAGGAGGGCAGAGTGATGAAGCCAGTTCAGAGATTGGAGAAATGGACATTTTTGGCCAGGACACCAGGGTTTCACCCCTACTCTTTTGGAGAAACGCGCTGGGATTTTTAAAGACCACAGGGAGTCAGGACCACGGTTTTTCGTCTCATCTGAAGGACGGCGCCTGTTTACAGTATAGTGTCCCCATCACCATACTGGGGCATTAGGACCCACATAGACCACAGGGTGAGCGCCCCCTGCTGGCCCCACTAACACCTCTTCCAGCAGCAACCTTAGTTTTTCACAGGAGTCCCCCATCCAGGTACTGACCAGGCTCACACCTGCTGAGCTTCAGTGGGCTGCCAGCTGTGAGTTGCAGAGTGATATGGCTGCTGGCTATATATTAGAGGTGTGTGTAATTAATGCAGTGTTATACAATATAGTAAATACATAGGTGTTCAGTACATTAGGAAATGATGAAGTGCAATTCTGCAGTACAGTGCTGTAATATAATACAGCAGTTATGTCCCTTCCTAACAAGGCAAAAGAATTCTCCAGGCAAGTGAGCATTCTGGTAGCTTATTGTAGTGTTTCTGGAGTGCTGTTAGTGGAGTTTGGGGATGATCCATGCAAAACATTTCCTGTCCTCCTGCGCTCTTGTGCCGGTGATGGCTGGGTCTCGGAGGCAGCTGTGTGCTCCTGTCCTCCTGCGCTCTTGTGCCGGTGATGGCTGGGTCTTGGAGTCAGCTGTGTGCTCCTGTCCTCCTGCGCTCTTGTGCCGGTGATGTCTGGGTCTCGCAGTCAGCTGTGTGCTCCTGTCCTCCTGCGCTCTTCCGGTGATGGCTGGATCTCGCAGTCAGCTGTGTGCTCCTGTCCTCCTGCGCTCTTGTGCCGGTGATGGCTGGGTCTCGCAGTCAGCTGTGTGCTCCTGTCTTCCCCCAGCAGGACGACGGACAGGGGAATGGGGCGGGTGACTCGCCCCGCAGGAGAGCAGAGCTGGAGAAGCTAGGGGGGCCAGAGCTGCACCGGAGACTGGCGGAGGTGGACCCAGACATGGCGTCCATGCTGCACCCCCACAACACTCGCAAGATCGCCAGGTACTGCACCTCAACGGGAGAGACATACCGAGATCCTGAGAAACTGACTCACTCTACCATCTATAATCCTTTTAAGCTGTGGGTAAACCAGGTTTTCAATAGTCTTAAGATCAGAACCGTGGAAAAATGTGTGTTCATCTTGCATCTCTTGGCGATAGTTATGAATTAATTGATGCTTCGTGACATCAAACCTGTTCCTTGTCTTGATCCTGCGACCAGTATGTCTCCTTTTCCGTCTTGATTAAGAAGCACCCTGTCTTCTTTTTTTTTTGTCCGATCTGCGGCTGTAATGCCTAGGTGTCTGGGGTTTGCTCAGAACTGCTGGACTAATTAGAATTTCACTCACTGCCTCTCTTTGTGTTACAACCATGGCTCCTGGCATTTTGCTTAGACTTCACAATCCTGCTTAACGGCCCTTTGATGTGCATCAGACACCTTTCTTTTGATAATTTCTTTTTATTGCACTGTTTTCCAGCCGCCCCGCTCACACACAATCCCCTCCCTTCCCTGTCCAGGGCATTGGTCCTGTCAGTGTCTGGTTGAGAGTCCCGGAATATAGATTGTGTGCCAGTGCGTGCAGCGAGCTAACGTTGGCCCTGTTCGATTTGAAAAAGTGAGAAATTTGCATCTGTTGCGCTCTTGCACAGAATGCAAAGCAGCTAGGATTTTAAATTACATGTTGATGTGCTGTTGTAGTCATGTGAAAAGCCTGGTGGGGGTAGATGGGGGGGCTCAGTACCTGCAGTGCTTGTGCTTATGAAACAACACGGCAGGTGATCGTGGCTCGAGGCTGATTGAGTGCGTTGGGATCGTCTCCCTCAGAGCCGTTTTAACCAGGTGCTTGCCCAGTGCTTCGGGGAGGGCCACAGCCCAGCAGGTTGGGGTACTGTAATTAGCCGTCAGGTGATGACAGAAGCAGTGAGGCCCCGGGTTCGTGTGCAGGAGCCTGCAGGTCCTCCAGGAGATGGGGATTCCCCACAGCCGGTTGCTGCAGGAGCAGAGGGAGCAGGAGGGGGCGGACGGCCTCGGGGGGCCCCTGCGGTTCGACGGCCCCTGCATCTTCTGGCTGCACGCCGAGCTGCCAGGTGAGCGCCCCACTTTCCCGCGGCGACCCCACCCCCCCATCCAGCAGGAGCCAGTGCGCCTCCTCTTGGGCCGCTGGGGAACTCCAGTGTCCTCCTCTTGTCTCAGCTGTGAAAGAGGTGCTTTAGAGCAGCCTTGTTGCTCAGCGCTGGTTCTGAATGGATGTTTTATTTTCCCTCACCTGCGCTCTCAGTTAAAGTCATTCTGAGTGTAACCTGCGCCTGCCCTAAGGCTCCCGAGAGCCCCGGTCCTCATATTTCTTTTTATTTTCAGAAGCAGCTTTTATAACACCCCTATATAACTTGTAGGAAGTTTCGGCTTTTTTTATTTTAGAATGTGATTATTTTTCTTAAAAGCATGATAAGCCACGTTTAGTATGAAAGGGGGAGAGGGGATCAGCTTAGCTACTTCTCAGAAATTGATGGGGTTTGTACTTTTTGAAAGTTTTTTTTTTCTGCAGCCAGGCGTGTGATTCCTGGGACAGGAGGTTTTACTATGCCTTTCCCCATGTGCTTTTCCTAGAGGGCTCTTCCAGTCGATGTGGGCTTTTGTTTTTCAAATTTCCCTGCATTTATAGCAGCGTAGGACAGCTCCTGCATGTAAAAATCAGATATTTCATGCCGCTGGTGCGCTGTTTAATATTTGAGATTAGTTTGCTTCTCACCACTATGCTCCTGCCTTCCGTCTAGTCAAGTCTGTTTAGAACTAAAGCTGTAATGCGTGCCCGATGACATGATTGCGATAACTTAGAAGGGAATGGATGGCGAAATCAAAGCTCCAACTCTCCCATACCGAATTGACGTGTAGTTTCTGTCCCCTCTGAGGGGATCGCAGTGTCGCTGAGGTGTCCGTCTCCCATCCTGTCCTTGTAGCCCTGGACGCGAGGCTGGAGGAGCGCGTGGAGGACATGCTGTCCGCAGGCCTGCTCGAGGAGCTGAAGGACTTCCACGAGCGGTACAACGAGCAGAAACTCCAGGACAGCGGGTGAGAAAGCCGGGCCGTGAGTTGGGGCGGGTGAAATCCTCAATCCCACACAGCTGGATCGCATCCCGGAAAGCCAACCAGGTGTGAAAAGGAAGAGAGGGTGAAACGGAGCTCTGTGGTCATGGGACAGGGAAGAGAAGAGCAGAAAAAACAGAGTAAAACCTGTTCTGAAACAGCAGTTAATGCATTTGTCAAGCGTGCTCCAACAAGATTTGTACAGGATGTTCAAAAAACCGCCAGAGGGGGATTACTAATGAAAATCAGTTAACAGATACCGGTTAGGCAGTCCTGTTTAATGCTGAGGTGAGGCATATCATTCATTTATTCATTTTCTGGGCTCTTCTGTTTAGCAACGCAGAGAAAGCTAAAGCTGCTTCGACCCTGAAAGTCACTGTAACTTTGCTGTAGATCGCGGCGATCAAGAAACACGTGATGTTCCTGCGTGTCAGTGGCGAGCTTAAACTAAAAAGATTCAGAAAAAGACATCGGAACTGCGATACCATCTAGAAAAAGTTGATTTTTGTAAAGCCCCAAGTGTTTCGGGCTAGTTCAGGCGGCAGTTGTGCTGATATTTCTCTTTTAGTCAGCCTTGGTGAATAATGACACACAGCTCTTTAGTACAGGAAGTGTGTGGTCATCAGGGGGTTCCTGAGAGAAAAAAAGAAATCTGCTCTACTTGTAAACCTATGAGAAATTAACACATCAGCTTGCATTTCTTAGTTCAGTATCAGAACGCCCAAGACCATAATTGCACGAGTGTTTCGGTCCCTTTATGAACAATATTTTGCATCTGATCAAGATTCATGTTCCTTAAATTCTAGAAAGTAAGAACTGATTTTGTGCTGCAATTGCGAAAAGTAAGGATTCCTTTTGCATAGATGAAAAGGCCATTCCAAAAACCGAGTCATCAAATCTGATGTTGTTAGGTTTCAGGAATACATGGTTTTCCTGGGGGAAGTTTTGCTTAATTATACAATAGGAAAATGTGAACAAATAGATTTCTAAGCTGCTGGAGGCCTTTCTTTCATGAACTCCTATAGCCTTTATCACTATATGAAAAAAACTGGTAAATTTCCAGTGCTTTATGTTTTGCGTGGACAGCTGTTAAACTCTCTGTGGTGAGGTAATTGTTACAATAGCCGGTTTACAGGTGATGGTTGTCAGCATGATTGTGTGCCCTGAACGAGAAAAGCCAGTTTGCAGTTCCTGGCAGCCTGTCTAACGAGAATAGATACATTATGTCATATCAGGTATCTTAACCGTTGTGAAGAACTGTGATGTGTAAACAATACCACTGCTGTCTTCTGCAGTTCAAATCAGCAAATCGGTTACTTCTTAAAAGATGTTAATCTCCTCGGGCTTGAGCAGAAAGAAATTCTGAGGGCGCGTAATGCATTGAATCGGAATGGCGAAAGGTTGTGAAAAAAGGTTAATCCGGTGGATTACTTCCGGATCATTAAGAAATGGATTGAGAAGAGGAGTCGCGTCTTGCCATAGAGGGTTGGTCAGTGTGTGGAAGAGGCTGTGCTGTTTAACCTGATTCCGTTGTGTCTTTTCATCGAACAGTGCCGATTCACGCTTCATGTACCTTCTAGTATCTATGCAAGCGAGGAAGGCCTCTTGCTGTGTCTCCTTCAGACCCTCAGACTCTATTGCCAGTAGAGTTAACACTATTTATTAATTAACCAGAACCTTACTGCCTCTTGCTAAGATGGTCCCAGGGGTTTGATGATGCTAGAAGGGGTGCCACTCTCCTATAAGAGCTGCCACATCTGTTACACATACCAAAGGCAAGACATGAGTGAGCTGCTTCAAGCACAGGATGGAGAGAGTATCATTGAGCTCTCATTCATTCTTACAAGTGGCTGTTAAGAGATTCTAGACAATCGCTGGGTTTAGGTTGAAGGGAATAAATACCAAAGGACCTGTACATGCACACACCCATCTGTATGCATTGCTTCTGAATCCGGCTGAGGGATTTCTCTCGATGTGGACGTGGAGCGCAGATGTGCTGGTGGCTCTGTGCCTGGCTCTTGCCCTTCCTTCAGACAGCGTGATCGATCCTCTGTCAGCAGCACGCACCAGGAAAAGTTCTGACACAGCTTTTCTGTAGTCTTCTCTCCCCCCACCGAATGCAACAACCTCTCGCCACCAAGCAGCAAGGTCACGCCACAACCCCCCCACTGTCTGTGGTGCGCCATGAGCGTCCGTTCGGCAGGGACAGGAGTGGGCGTCACTCTGCAAGACTGAATCTCATCCTCCCCTCTCCCCAGAGACTGCCCCTCCCCCCGAACTGAACGACACAGACTTGCTGCCACAGCGGTTTTAAATGTATTCTCCTCTCCTGAGCTGCAGCGCGGACATGGGCCCTCGCTCACCCTGTCTGACCTGCCGATGTGCTGTCAGTGTCCTGCATCGGGGCTGCTTGTTGAGGCAGGGCTGACCGGCAGTACGGTCACCTGCGCTTTTGTAGGCCACGGACTCTGTTACTGAAAATCAGGAGCTCAGTGCTGCTGTTCACATGCTGCAAAGATCTAGAATGGTTAAGAATGAGAGGACGTTTGTCCTGTCTTGAGCTTTTGACTGTTAAGAGCTGATATATCAAGGGTCTGGTCCTGTTGCATCTAGGACATCAGCTTATAAAACATGGCTGGGCAGCTGGGTCCTGACACCCAGGGTCCTCCAGTTCTCAGGCCTAAATACCCTTCCCTGTCAACGTCTGTCTCGGCTCTTGTGTGCTTGTTTCGTCACTGAGCTTCGTGCAGTCCAGTCGGGATGACTGTCGGTACCTTTACGTTTTTTTAAAACATTTCCCTCTTGATTCCAATGAAGCCCCTTTCTTGAAAGATGCGTGGTGTTTTCCACCTGCTGAGGCTTTTCCACCTGCTGGGGCAGATCCAGGGCAAAGGATCAAGCTCTGCACATTTGCGAGGCTTGCAGAGCCCGGATCCTGGGGCAGTTGAGCTTGTTGCCCCAGCTCCAGCCCCTTGTTATCCCGACGAACACTCACACAGAACTGGGCTTGTGAGTTAGTTTTCAGTCCAGGGATCTCATCTCATCCTCTTAAAAGAAGCCAAGTTATCGGCTGTGTAAAGATGGCTGGGTAGCTTGTTCCATGTTGCCTCATCTCTTTGTGTTACCCTCTGGGAATGGTATAAGAGGTTGAGGCTGTTGCACCTCTGTTCACAGATTCCTAACCAACACAGCAGCGCAACTTCACAAACTGGTAGAGCTAGCTAGGGAGTTCACACGGACGCCCTTAACCTATCTCGCAAACACGCCAGGTAGCTCAGGAGAAGCTGAAAGAATGTTCCCTGTAAACGTTCCTCTTGTTCTTTGTCATATTTTCACCTTTTTCCTGATCGATTGTGCATAATAATTCTTGCGTGTTTTGTGTCCTGCACGCAGCCAAGACTACCAGCATGGTATCTTCCAGTCCATCGGCTTCAAAGAGTTTCACGAGTACCTGACAGCTGGCACAGACCGCAGTGAGGAGGAGCGACAGAAGCTGATGAGCAAAGGTAGGCAGGGCACAGGCACATTCCCATGATGCCCCTGTGATTAGCCTGCGCTAGAAGGAGGGGCAGTTCTGCGTTGATCCTCCTCCTTCAGAAATCTACAGAGCCCCATCGCATCCCCCCAGATGCGTCTTGTGTTTCTGTGCAGGAAAAAGAAATGCTCGGCTTCATTTATTCGTATCCGTGCGACATTACTGGCGGGAAGCAGGGAATGAAGGGAACGGACCCCTCCCATATGTCTCGGGTGAAATGCCGTGCTGCATGTTCACAGGGTGTAGCACCATTCAGGTGTGCTGTGTCATTTGGATCCAGGGCTCCTAAACCTAGTCCTCAAGGGCCACAGAGCAGTGTGTCTTATAGCTCTCTGCAAAGCTACTGCCAGCACTCGTTTAATCCTTAATTGGGCTAGTTTAACCCTCCTTCACAGGGCTGAAGATGCGGGTGATCCAAACTGAAAAACCCGTTGGGTTCTGGCCCGTGGAGGCTCGAGCTGGGCAAGCCTGTTTTACATGGACTAGCAGCTGAGATCTCTTGGGCTACTGGGATAAGAAAAAAAAGGTGATGAAATGCGCAGACAGTCATAGCCTGGGCCTGAGGGACAGCTCAGGCTTTTCCTACATTTCAGGAATTTCAATGAGATCAGATTGATTTTTTTTTGTAGAGGAGTGAAGAAGAATGGATGCTTGCTTGCTTTGATAATCTTCAATACTTCCCTGAAAGGAGGGTACAGGCTCAGCAAATCTAGTTCCCACTGGGGTTCTGCAGTAGGGCTGCCATTAGAGGTTTTTCTTGGAAGTCGTTAGTTAACGCTTTTGATTTTCAGGGTGAACCGATCTGGCTGTATTTTTTATGTTTACAAAAAGGGAAGGGGGGTGGAATGCAGGCTGTCCCAGATATGTTCGCAAAACAGGCCCTTGCTTTTAGGTTTGCATTTTGCTGTCTAATCCTGTCGACCACAGCTTTGCCACCTTGAAGTCTGGTCTCTCCAGGTCTCAGAAACCCAGCAAGGGTGGGCCTGGTCAGCACTGCGATGGGAGACTTCTAAGGAAAACCAGGTTGCTGTTGTAAAAGGTGTTTGTAAACCAGTAGGTGGCGCTCTTCTTGGCCCAAGAATGTGTAGCCCAGTGCCCCAGTATTGCAATAAAGATGGCAGGAAGTGGCATCCATTGGGCGAGATGTCAATCCCCGGATCCTGAGTACTTGATCATTAAAGATCCCCAGACTTGATTTGTAATAGTGGTGTTAACCTTAGTCTCCTGGCTAGATTCCACTCTGGTCTTATAAAATCTGGCCACCCTAAAGTTCCCCCTTAATGCAGTGGGTCAAGCTGTTTCTCACTCCCCCATCTGGTCTGCTGCTGGCTGATCATGGCTACCACACGTCACCCAGCAGGGAACTAAGTGGGTCCCCTCCGTTATCTAAAGCACTTGATAAATTTAAAGAAAGTACTGCCTCTTTTTTTGTTATTGGCAGCAGTACGCCATGAAAGAACTCGTCAGTTTCAACTGGCTGCCAAGACCTTTGTGTGCAGTATGGTAACCCAGTGTTTATATATTCACAGTCAAGTGAAGAAGCGACATTGATACTGTCTGCTGCCGGGTCACGCGCTGCACCGATGCCGCATCCGTATTGACAGGGCTCTAGGAAAAGTACAAGTTCTGGATGCAATACTGAATGTGCACTAAGGGCCTTCTTTATATTTCCTTAAGTGCAGCTTTCTGAGCCTCGTGTGCAGAAGCTTACTTAAAAGATGGCCTCTCCCCCCCCCCCCCCCATTATGAGAATCCCCACCCTGCAATTTTTCTCATGACCATTTTCTTCTGTGCACATCTGCAACGTGAGAACAGAAAATGAGAGTGTGCTGCTTTAAACGGAGCTGCTGTAAAAAGCCGCAGCACGATTCTGCTCGAGCTGGATTCTCTGAGGTCCAGCAGAATGTGGCAGAGGGGTGAGCTACTGGCCGCCAGCCTGGCATGGTGGGGCTGCAGCCCTTCCTCGTGTCACCTGCTCGTTGATGACAGCCCCCAACCCCATCAGAGGGCCGATGAGCAGGGAGCCGGAGAGCAAGTCGGGATGTGGAGGCAGCAGGATAAAAACGGACTCTGTGAGGCGGTTTTGGCAGATCTTCCAGTTTGTAGTAACAGGACTGGCACTGTCTGTTACAGCTTTATCTCGCAAGATAGGAGGTTCAGTGAGCAGCAATAAAAAGTGATAAAAAAGCTGTCCAACTAAAAAGTAACCCTCCCCTCTTTTCTCTGATATAGGCATCGAAGCTTTGAAACAGGCGACCAAGCGCTACGCCAGGAAGCAGAACAAATGGGTCCGAAACCGCTTTCTCAAACGTAAGTTGGATTTTTTTTTGTCATTTGTCCTCCATCTGTTTTTAGCAGTTTAAAGGTTCTCACAGGTTGTACAGCCTTTCAGGGAGCTGTGAGGCAGAGGTTTGAGTCTTTCATTCTCCCCTCTACTTCTGGGTGTAAAACAGCTTGTGGGGTCCTTCATGGTGGGGTCCCAGCAGCTAAAAGTGGGGTGCTCGCGACGATGTTTTCGGGAGTGGATTGTCAGGAATGGCAGAGACAGCCGACTGGTTATTGCTGCGAGTCACGTGCGTGTCAGCTTCCAGCTCACTGCGGATCTGCCTCCGAATTATATGTCCGCCAGCAAACGCATGTGCATTCTCATTTCCTTGCAGTTTTAAGCGGTGAATGCGTTTTTTTCCCCTTGCATTTGATGAGACGTTTATGGCCGTGACGGCATTTGCAAAGACAAAGAAAAGCAGGGGAACAAATCGGGCTGCAGACTCCTGTCTGCCAGCACCCAGATCAATACATTGACCCTCCTGTTTTCCTGTTCTTGTAAACGAGAAGGTACATAAAATGTTACTGCAGTTTGGAACCCTGTTCCATAGCGTCCTGGGCTTCTCTCGGCTTTAGTGACATGAATAACCTCCTCAATAAACCCTGCATTGTGGGAACAGCTCGTTAGGGGCTCTTAATCCTGCACACCATTTCTGTCTCCCAGCGTCTAAGTGTGAATTGACAGTTTGTTCCTCGGGGAGGGGCCGAAAGACAGGAGGTGATCGCAGTTCGGGGGTGGAGAGGGCTCGGTTGTAAAATAAAACCGGCTAATTACTTTTCCTGGGGGGTTGTGGAATGGGGGGAGCGGGGGTGGGGATGGGTGCCGTGGCCCCTGTTGTGAAATGTCCTGGTTTTCTCTAACAGCTCATTGTGTAGTGGTCTGGATGGGCCCCCCAGCGTAAGCCTTTGAAGTTCCTTTAGCCACCCTAAGGGTGTGTCTTCAGCCCCTCTGCCCAGTTTTTCCCTGCTCAGCTCCCAGAACACTCTGCCTCTTCAGAGCGAGCCTCCCCTTGTTCTGCCTCCAGAACCGCATGCTTTTTAAAAGGTTCTGGTGCCGAGTCTTTATTAGCCCCAACACGAGGTAGAATCATCCACGCCTTCAGCTGAGTCTTTCTGAAGGCATCCCAGAATGGATTGAGGCTTGGCGAGAGTATTTTTAATCCTGCCCTATGATCGGTGCAAGTATGAGCGCAGGTACGTCTACATCGGTGAGGACCTCACAAAGACAGGGGCTCCTGAGAAACAGGCCTTTGTGAGGTATCTGTGAGGCAGCGCTCACGAGGCAGATGAATTTAAAAAATTTAGAAGCCAAATGAAGTCTTCTTATAAAAATCACAAGCCCCAGTGCGATTTTGTTTGATTTCCTTTCACCCCTTGTTAAGTTACCATTTCAAGAGAAAATTGTTAAAAATACAATCAGATGTAATGGGAGTTCTTTACAGGTATAAAAATACAAATATGTTTGTCATTTTCTCTTCGCGTGCCGAGGCTAATTCTCAAACTTGCGTATTGTGATCCTGGCAAAACTTTTCCTACTGATTATATAAGGATATCTATTTTTAAGGATTTTGCAAGTGAATGAAGATTAATGTTGGCTCTTGCCAGAAGAGTCTGGTTTGGGCTGAGAAGGGCACTGTTCTGTGTTAGAAAGTAGTTTTGTAAGCAGGTGGGGTTGGAAGTTTTGGGCTTGAATTGGGGGCGGGCAGACTGTTTCTAGGCTTTAACTGCAGATTCGCAAAGTAAAGGTTTTCAAAATCAGAATCTTGCATTAGCTGCTGATGATTTGATCATAACTGCTGCAAGGAGGCTTTTATCAGTGAATCGATTAATCATTTCGTCTTTTATTTGTTGTAGTGCCCTTCACCACAGTTTGGCACAGAGTGCCCTACAGATTTCTGTAGCAGTTCCATTTTAACCATGTGGGCGCAGAGGAGAGGAGATCCTAGAGTAGTAGAGGAGTTTATTGGCATGTGTACACGTACAGTGGAATTCTTTCCCATGCTGATCTCTCGGGACATACACAGTACAGCACACAATGTAGACAGCCCATTAAAAACATAATCAATAATACAGCCAGAACAATAAATATGTTGTGGAAAACAGTACATTTTTAGCACTGGAAAAAAAAAACATGGAAACATGGTAGAACATGTAAAGTGCACAGTGCAGACGTGCCTTGAGTCTGAGGCTTTGCAGTTAGCTGTAAAGGATGCGCACTGCAGCAGGGTCGAGTTTTTTGTTTCCTTCTGTGCTTTAGCTCTCTTCCCCCTAGTTGTTGAGGTTGCCGCCTGTCTGCTGTGTTTGCAGAGCCGGCGCCTCCCTCCACCCTGACCCCAGAGTGCCCTGCTCGGCCGCCGAGGTCACGTCATGCTCCCCCCCCCCGCTGCTGCCCCGCTGGCCTTTCGGCTCCCCTCTGACCCCGGTAATCCTCGGTGGAGTGAGCCGCTGGGAAGCTTTCCCGCGCGCTGACCTGCGAGAGCGACAGAACCGGCAGCAAGGGAAGCACGAGTTTCCCGGAGATTCCCGGGTCTTGACTGTTCTCTCCCCTCTCCCTCCCGCATACCGATTCAGGGTGCTGAAGACGTGAGCTGAGCCGACAGTTCGGTCAGATGTGTAGTGAGTTCCCGCAGCGTGGAGCAGAGATATCTGGACCACATTCCAGCGTCCTGCAGCTTCGCACTGTGCCCCGCCGGGCGACACGCTCACAGCGAGCTGAAGCGGCACCCTCTGGTGTGCGCGGTCATTGTCCGTCCAGCTTGTCATGGGGACAAGTGACCAAACGGCACCGCTCCGGAGAGCAGGAGAGCACCTAACAGGGCCTGTGCTTGCAGCGGATATTTAAGCCCTGTTTTCCATTTTCAGAAAAAGAAAAAACAGAATCAGTGCGAATTGACAGTTTGATTCAATCACAAGCTGTGCAGCAATGACAGGACCAGTCGACCAATCAGTCAGGTTATTTGCTGTAGTGCTCTTGGCAGCAGTTTGCCACAGAGCGCCTTACAAATTTCTGTCAAGAGTTTGACAATGTAGCAACGGTTTGGCCATGTCGGCACAGAGGAAAGGAAAGCAAATACTCTCACTGGGAGAAATTAAACCTCTGGGGGCTTCAAGCCCGATCGGGCTGTCCTCCCCGCAGGCAATGGGTCTGTGGTCCAATAATAAATCTTGGACGATTGTTATTGTGCAGATGTTATCCAGCTGTCTTGGGTTCTGTGGTCAGGGAGTGAAGTAGCTGAGGTTCCCCTCTTAGGTCTAAGGGTCCAGGTTCTGAGGTCATGAAACGTCAGGACATCCAGTCTCGGAGTAGGAGCCCGCCGCCGTGCTCCATGCAGTGGGGAGCAAAAGATTAGACAGCTGGTTCCAGTAGCTAGCCGGGAGGTCAGGGCTTTAAGCGAGTAACCTTACGAAACACCCCCTGAACATGAGCAGCTGTTTCTAGGATGATGTTCACTGTCTCCACCTTGCTGTGGGTTTTTCCACAGACGAGCAGGCTACTTCTTCGGCCCCAATTCCCCCCCTTGTGGCTGTTTGCTCAGCGGTGCAGAACTCTACAGTCTGTTTGTGCAGTAGGGACACTGACTGGACCCGCATGAAATCGAAGGGCGCATAATATCACCCTGGTGCCTTGTGTCTTTATCGTAGGCAAAGGAAGAAGCAAACATTTTGTTTTTGCATCACAAGGCGTATTGATTTTATTGTGGAGTACACAGATTAAAGATCAAACTGCCATTGCAATTAGAAACACAAAACGGCTTCCTGGCTTCGGTCCTGCGCAGCTGCAGCTGCCTCTTTGCTCTGGGGCTGAATCGCAGTGTCCTTTCCTGCTGTACTGTGTCTTTGGGATCTGCAGTCCCTGCTGCTTTGACACCAGCGAGTTAAGATGTGAAAAACCAAGCCCTCCCTATTGAGTTACAGGGCTAATGCTCTGTGTCCTACAGCCGCGGTCTTTCGCCTTATTGAATTTCCATGTCTGAAAAGGCTCCTGGTACGGCGCTTCGCAGAGTGAATTTAAATTTTTTTGAAGTCCCTCTGCTGCAGTGCCTAGCGCACGCGTGTCCGGTCGCAGCCCTGGGCTAACGCCACACATATCGAATGCCCCATCCTGCCTGGTGCCGGCTCCAGTATTGTACCTTTTGTTGCATGTGGGAGACCCGTTGCAGAATACCCAGCTTGTTCCTCTGCCAGCTCCAGCCACTTTCCTCCAGCCAGCTTTTAATAGTTTCTCTCCCAGCTGCAGCAGTGGTGGGGGGCGGGGGCGACAAAAGGCTCTGTTATTCTGATACTGTTTCACCAATTAGATTTACTGCTTCTTCCGAGGAAACAAAAACCGCTTTTCTCTTTAGAAGGACGAAAATGTCCTCTCCTGATTTCTTACCGCAGGTCTCACAAGCTCGTTTTCACGCCCTTGAGGGTCCAGTGGTCTCCCGTGGCTCTTCCTTGCTCGCTTTTTTTGCAGTTCTGCTTTGGCTGGTGCTGTTTTGTGCTCTACTTATGGGGGGCCGCCAGCTCCAGTCTTGTCCCCCGAAGTTGGGAGGTGTTAATCAGTTCAGCATGTAATTTGCTCAGTGAAGAGAGCTCTGGTACTTGAGGGCTGAAGAGGATTCCTGTTTTGTTCCAAAGTGATCTCTAAATTGCTTAATTTCACATATTCCCCACTGTGTTGCTCATGGTAAACTTTAATCCAATTCTTTAGGAGTTAATGATTTAATGGTTAGCTTGGAAACGTGCTGGGTTGGGGCTTTCTAGTAAAGCAGTATTTGCATAACCCGCTTCAAAGAAAAATAAGCTGTTAATTGGCTGAGTTTTAAGTAACGCACTCTGGATCTTCAGACGGCAGGAAGTAACATGATACTCTCAGGCGACAGGTGTGAGTAAGCGAGCTGTGACACCAGTGTCCTCTTACACCAACTTCTGCTTTGAACCTTTTGTGGAAATTTCCCAAAGCGTTAAAAAGTAAGCAAAGAAGGGGGGAAACTATCGTGAAACGTGTAATGCAGGCCAGGTGGAGCGGTTCAACTCCTGTTGACCCCGCATTTGGAGAGAGTGGGAACCCCGGTGCGCCCTCCACAGGAGCCTGGGGGGATGGCTCGTCTTCCCTGGCCTCGGGTGCGATTTGCACCCCGTGGGGGCAGGAGAGGAAGTGCTGAGCCCTGGAACCGGGCCAGCCAGGCACAAGGCACCTTTTCAGAGGGGAGGAAAGGGCAGGGCAGGAGATAAGGGCGGGCGTGCCACACCCCGGCAGGTGTGCGGCGTGCTGTGGGACAGGTGTGCGCTGGCTGTGCCCGCCCGCTCCGCCTTCCCAGAGCGCGCACACACGCACGCACACACACACACACACACACA